CACTTCCCACATAGCGTATCCACTTTCCTGGGCTCCGGAGTCCTCCGGACCTGCTGCACAGAAGCACAGCTGCTCCCCTGGCAAAGTTCCCCTTCACAGAAAAAAGAGGCGAGTTGCCTGGGGTTATTGAGGCTGGGATAACATAGGAGGATTAGACAACAATTCCCATACTTGAACATTGCCAGTATCACCCTGTTCCACTGCATGAGCAATCCAGCTGCCTTCCAGAGGCTGTCAGGAAAATCTTCTGAAATTTTCTGAAAGGATCTGTAATATAAAGCCTTTTATCCTACTGCCGCTTGACTTCTGTTTTCAGGGTTCAAATACTAAAAAAATTACCTGAAAAAAAAAAGGCTCCGAGAAATTCTGATGCAGAAGGGCCTTATTCTATGAATCCAAAACGCAAAATGCAAAACGCAATTTTCATGTACTACAGCAGCTGTTCAGCACAGAAGTACATTCCTAGGCTAGTGCCAAGAGTGTGAAAGGCAAGCACCACACTAAGTGCCTTGCTTTGCAACACTAACATTCTCTGTCCAAATGTAAAGAGAGAACAAAACTAACGAATCTTTTTCCTCAGGACTTTTCAACAACTTCTTCATGGTAAGTTATTAGCACACATTAAAGCTCGCCATTAATACAATAATGATAAAAAGCTTCCTTTGTTTTTTTTCTACTCATTCCTTTCTAGATCGCTTCTCTTACAGCACTTGATGAGCAACATTTAGATACGCTGGGCAAAAATCCAATATCTGCATAATGATAAATTTCTAAACAAATTCTCTAACAAATTTCTTCCCAAATAAGCAGTCAGGTTATTTGGGACAGGAGCACACATTTCCATTGACTCGAATGCAATTTTATAAAGCAGCTCAACATATAAATAAATAAATAAATAAGCAGCAATACATGACTATTGGGAATATCTTACCTTTTACCACCATGACATTTAGCTGTGCTTTCATTACAGAAGTCCATCCTACGCAACGTACAAATCAGCTGCACTGTGGTCAGCAGCTTCAGTGGATGGACCTTTACTGCATCTGCTTGTGGTGGTCCCCTGTTTTGAGGCTGAGTTCCATGATCAGTTTTATAAACTGCAGGAATCATGAGGAAAGTTTTGAAAAAGTCACATCTAATGCAAAAGATAAAGAAGGCCGGATGACCCAGAAGCCCTGTAGGTAGCTCATGCCCACATACCCACTTTTGGAAATCCTGGCCTTTACAGGATACTGTGACAATGAGCCGTGCTGCTCTCACTCGGGGGCCAGGCCTCAAGCCAACTAGGCTCTGTCCAAGAACCATTACTGAAACATTCTCTCGGTTTAAGCCTCCAGGCAATATGGTCTTTCACCACCCCCCCACACACACACATACATATGCACTGCAATGATTCTATTAGCTCCCATTTTCCTACTGTCAAGAAAATACCTTGTTTCATTTGTTTTTAAAGGGCATTTGCTGTTGATATTCCTCAAGGGCCAATACAAGGGTGACCTTCAGTGCAGAGACTGAACTTTGGCTAATGCCCAGTTACCATACACAGCGGTATCTGCTCAATAGTTATTCTACTATCTACAGGAAAAACTCAGTGAGGACAAATGCGAGAACACTGTGTCAATTCATTTCTTGCTTGGAACAAAGAGCCTTTTCTGACTGGGGAAGAAACACGAAATAATTGTTTCACTTATCTTTATTTCGGCATGTTCAAGCCTTCTTTGAATCTTATATTTTTTTTTACCAAATTCTGCTACATCTTCTTTATATTTTCTGTTCTGTTCAAGTGGAAAATATCTTTTTAGGATAACTAAACAGAGCAGAGAACTGCTAAGAGAACACAGAGTCTTTCATTTCTAAACCAGAGATTCAAATCCAGACTGATTAGGGCACTGAACAGGGATTGTTCTCCCCTGGGGAAGCCTTTTCAGTGGCCTAAGTGTAGAGGGACCAGCTCCTAACAGGGAGCTACGCACAGACCACAATCCACCCTTAGCAATGCTCATGACTTGTACCCTTGCCAGCCTTGCCAGGGAGGTCGCCAGCATCTTCCTGGCCCAGGAAGTAACAGGTTGGGCATTTCCTACACACTCCTGGCCACGGGCCTTGCGCCCAGTGCTACAGCCCTGGGCCACTCACTCGCGCTCCGCAGGGCGGCTGAGCTGTGGGGCCTGTGCAAACACGTTGCTGGGTGCGTTACGCTAACGGAGCCGACAAATCGCTGGCGACAAGCAGAACGAACTCACCCACTGCCGGGAAATAGAACCCAAAGCCTGTAGTCAGGGGCCTGCAGGTACCCAGCTCGGTTATCTCCTGTGCCTTCCAGGCAGAGAAATGCAACTCCGAGATCAAAGCCATCCTAATGGAAATCTGATTACTAGTGAACACGCAAGTCACTCCTTCAAAGACACTAGCAGGCTAAAGAAGGCATAAAACAGGCTAAAGAGGGCATAAAAATAAAAAATAATAATAAATAATAATAAAAAAGGTAAAGGCACTATACTTTTCAAACAACAAGATTTTGGTAATCAGCAACTGCCCAGATTTGGGATTTCATCAAGCAAAAGTGTATTTGATTCAAGAATTCAACTACATTATTTAGAAAGGTGAAGCATGACGAGTATCGTCAGAGCAGTAACTCAAAGGCTTGTCCCTGGTCCTTCGCTAGCGCACACAGAGGCCTTGCTGCGTGCAGCACTGACACTAGCGACCCCAGCATGGCACGGCATCGTGTCGTTCAGCCAGGGAGACAGCCTTCGAGTGCAGAGCGGGTGCTAAGACAACAGCCCACATCACTAACTCTAAAATCTAACCTCCCCCCGCCCCCCGCAAAACTAACACAATTTCAGATGATTTCAGTTTTCCTCCAACTGAGCTGCACAGTCCTTCTGCACAGCTGGTACCAAGGCCAGTTTCCGCTTTGGCTCTCTTCCCCAGGCCAGCTCAGGGAATCCGAATGAAACAATCTTTGTTCCAGTGCCTTATGCCAGCCCCTAAAGTCACTGCGCAGCAGCACAGCTGCTTGCAGTGAACTTCATTTTTGTGCTGTGAATGGAAATTAGAGGACGATCACCTTCATCTGCCTATCAAGAATTCGAGAACTATAATGAGATTATTCTAGCCATCTTATTAACTGCATATTTTTTGACTATAAATTTTTTCCAGGTTAATAGAAATTCAGCCCCAAATTATTAACGGAGAAATTACAGCAAGCTGAAATCTAAATAATCTAAATAATCCTGCCTAGCAGGAGGACAGGTCTCCCTGTCCCAGTTCTGCTCACAAGGCAGAATTCACAGTTTAGGCCCAAGCTATGCCATAAAGATTAATGTAAATATTTGCCGCTCACTTTGACATTTGACAGCTTAAGAAACAAAATGCAAAGTAACCGAATGAAAGATTTAGCCATGGGAATGATGTGACAATGCCACTAAGCAGGTCACTAGCAGGGACAGAACTGCGGGCAGTCGCGATCCGTGGGTCTGGATTGCTAATTTACCATTACATTGTAGGCCAGCGTATCCCTTGCTAGAGTGTTTAAACGCAAAACAGAGACATAAAAATGAGATTTTCCTTTAAATAAAAACAGAAGAGCTATCAACTGCAAAAAATCTCCCAGTGCTTCCACTCTGAAATTTTCATAATTTAATTTACATATATATTTTTATATATATATTTGTTGTTGAAAAAGTTCACAATTCAATGGCAGGTGTCCCAAAGCAAGCCAGGATTTGGCATCACTGCCACACTGCCCTACAGCTCATGGCCAGGAGCAAAGCCAACTCTCCACAGTTTCCTCCTCCCTTTGAGCTTCCCCCCCCACAGATGGAGAAGCTACCACCCCACCTCTGGGGGAGCTGGCTGTAGCAAATGTATAGGCTACAGGGTAAAGTGAGAGAGTTTTGGAACCACCAGCCCTATCCCAGCCCCACAGGAGTGGGCTTGTTCTGTGTGCAGGCCATAGGTCAAATCTGTCAGCAGTATTTTGTAAAGGCTAGGGCTGAGGACAAGACTCTCTCTCTGAGCCTGCAAAATTGAGACTGCAATCAAGTTGTCTATTTCTATTCCAAAGCCATATCCCTAAGCAGAATTCCCCAAAGAAAACTTCTCATCACCAAAATGTTGCCCTTGAGGAGTGCAAAACAGAGGCAAAGAGAGCAATAAGTGACATTCAATATACTAATTGCTGAGTGAAAGCTGTTACTTACAAGCATCTGCAGTACTGCGTACGGTCCCGTCACAGCCTTCTGACAGACTAGAGCTCTATCAGGATACTGTCTCTTAGCCAAGAGTAAATATGTACACATTTGCAAGTGCACTTTGTTTTCTGTCCAGATCTAAACAAATTAATCCCCTTAGGACTGCCAGGTTTCAGGACTCAGATTGTCCTTGGCTAAGATACTGAGTTTACAGGACATGTCACGTGGTAGTGGGACAGGCTACTTGTTTTCCCTTGTCTGTGAATGGTGAAGTTGATCTACCTAGTCTGCAAACGATGCTACAGAAAGAAGAATAAATATGCAAAGCAACAAAAGTGAGCCTTGTACTCTCCATTCAGCCCTTTCACACTTGCTACCAGCTCTGCAATGTGAGGCAGTCTCTCAGAGATGCCCAAAGATGGATACAAAATACACTGTCGGAAATCAGTATTGCAGAAAAGAGATATGTGGACCTACGTGAAAAGAGATTATGTGCAGATGCGGAGATATGTGATCCTAAGGGATGTGGGTCAAACCTCCTGCAGCCTACACAATGCCCTCAGCATAGTTCTTTCTTGCCATCATTTCTTGCCAAAGCCAGCCAGTGAGCAGCAATAGCTTGACAGAACAATGTCAGAAATCGACCTTTTCCTCACACCTTAATTCCTCCAGTTTCTACCTAAAACACCACTCAGCCCAGCAAACATTTGAGTCAGAACAGAGGTTACCTGTTGTCGAACAAAAACTCTGTTCCAAACACAGACAAACCTTGCTTGGAGCCTCCAAAACCCGCAGTTCACTTACCTATCCAGAGTGTCCTGTGGCACCTTACTCCCTCCGGTTCTGCTGTTGACACTGGCATTCTTGTTGGCAGTCATGGTCATTTCTGTTTTCTGGAAATCGAGATACCTGCAAGAAGAAACATCAATTAAGCTCTGACAGATCCAAATGAAAACCAACCTTTCAAGATTGCCAGAATAATATTCCTAAAACACGCTGGGAAAAGGCAGAACTCTGGACTGCCTTTCAATCTTATTTCCTAGCAATATCAGGACATTAGATTTGGTAATGAACCAAAAGCTGTAAATTAAATATCGGCCACAATAAAAGCCATGCATATCCAGTTCTACTTTCTAGAATTCCCTGTATGAGGCAAGACTAATGTCTCCCTGACTGCACTAACTCCTGCCTGATGGGCTGCTTCAGAAGAAGAAATTAAAAAGCACCTATAAATTGACAAGCGTTGTTTGTTCTGCTGCATGCCCAGGAGGCAAAAAGAATACCAGGTACATGGAAGAAAGTTTAAATGGAAATGGCAGACAGTATGGAGAAATTCTTGCAACTGATTTCCCACAACAATTATCAAAACAGTCAACAGAGATCTCGGATTGATTCTCTCATGCAAATGGGCTTAGAACCAGAAGAATTTGAGGAAAACAAATATTCTGGAAAAAATCTCCCAGATAAGCAAGGAGAGGGAGTGATTGGCATCTCTGCCTTTTCAAGATATCCCATAAACAAAAGCGCACAAAAATGCAAGCAAGGAACAGCCGCGTGGCCAGCTGTGCTCCCCGTGCCCCAAAGCGGCGCCGGGTTGTTTCTGCGACACTGCGGACCTACGGGCTGGGAAGCAGCCTGGGAGCAGGCCTGGGTTTGCTCGCAGCCCGCTGATCCCCACGGGCCGCCTGGGCTGAGCCTGGCGGGAGCACATCAAGGAGATAGGCCAGACTGTAAAGCCAAGGATGTAAAAGTGGTTCCCTCTACTAGGGTACCTCTCTGGTAACTAGACCCACTATGTCACGAGTCCCAGGTCCTCTGCCATTACAAACCGTTGAAAAACATTTCACAAAGTGAGAGATGAGTGTATTTTAATAAAGGCCCTAAAATGGGTTGGTACTTACACCACCTGACTCTGTGCGAGTTCCTTGCCAAGGCTCTGTGGCTCTCCTGGCAATACGCTCCAAGTGTTTGCCGAGATGGTCCTTAGTTTGTAGACTAAAATAAGTACCTTGGTTTGCAAAATTACCACCCAGGATCTGACCAGAACTACTGATTTTTAGACCCATTAGTGGCATAGCTAAAGCAAAAATAAGGAGTATTACAAAACTTCATGTTTACCCAAACCCATAGTAAATCCAGGCTGCTTGAAAAGCAAACTGCAGTGTTGTGCTGCAGAGCGAGCGAGGACTGGCAGCACATGCAGCTGCCGCTGGGCACAAACAGGCCGGGCGTCCTCGCACACAGCCACTGGCCGAGATCGAGCGCAGATCTTTGTGCCAGTTGGTAACATTTTTTCTACACTAAAGCTCCCCACATTCCTTCTGTGTCTCAGTGTTATTGTTGCTGTTATCAAGATAACGGGGCTGCAAGGAACTGCCTGTTCTGATTGGGAAAGGGCTTCCTTGGGAAAACAAAACACGAAAAGCCCCGTGACACGGGCCAGGCTTTCTAGGATTGTGCATTCCACAGGGAGCTGGTAGCTTCTCTAATGTTTCCCATCCACCAGCTCTGTGTTATTCCTGTGTTAAAGCTGCTATAAGCACTAATACAAAGTTTGAAAAATAAAAGAGGAACATGGCACGAATTAAAGCTATTAGCATGCACGTTACCTCCGTTTTGCAACGTTCACTTTCATAGAAGACCAAAAAAGGCTAACTGGAGCCTCAAAAACATGCAAGACTGAGCTGGCATACACAAAAGATAGGAAACCACAACATGAAAGCACAGGTAGAGTCACTGCATCTTCTACTTCTCTCCCAGCCAAAAACCCAACAGGAAAAAATATCATACACACACGCAGCACCATGTTTGCTTTTTATGGAAGCTCAGGATTTCTGAAATTTCAATTTCCCAAATGCTTGATAAAACCATTATTTTATATATAACACACATACATGCGCTTTCTGTAAATAAATAAATAAATAATGTGACTACTTAAGCCCCACATTTCAAAGTTACCTTGAATGCCAAGTAGGCCAAACAAATCTGTTTTCAGAAAAAGGAGAACACTAAGCTCTAAAGGGGAATTTTACAAGATATGTCAAATTAAGTCGCAGAACCGCATCACACAGCTAAGAATCTGATACATACAGTGATGTCATCTGGCTTTTCTGTACACTTTTCATGTTTATCTTGCACAAACATTTTGTTGCAGGTGATGTTGGTATCATTCCAACCCGTGCAGAGAAAATCTAAATAACTTGAAAAAAAGTCAATCAACAACTTACTGAGGGGCCTGGAAACACAGTCACAAATACTCAATCATTTAAGTGCTTAGTGAAACAACAACAGTAAAAGGGAGAGAGAGGGGGGAAGAAAACCCTAACTTTTGTGGTCACGTGGCAAATTATTTCTAGGCATTTGAACAGGTCTGACAGTCCAGATAGTTTACATGAATCGTTGTATGTATGTGTTGTATGAAGTCATGTACCGTGGGCTCGCATGAGAGCGTTCACCATCACAGTATTTGCATTTGGTTCTTCACAAAGCAACAAAAAAGAGAAGCTCTTAAGTACTGTGACATACTGTAAAAAAAAATCCCAAAATAGCCATGCCACAGGGCCTAGTTAGCCACGTAAGTACACTTTGTATGAGACGCATAGATTTCTGACCTGGAGCTTTACAGAACGGCCACGAAGCCGTTATTGAGCCTCTTGCTTCACTCCACAAGCAGCCTCACCAGTCTCACTGTGCCAACTCTCTAAATGGTCATTTAACGAGCCAGGATGCTCTGGGAAGCTGGACCTTGGTCACTATTAAGTCTGTTCTGTCTACAACCTCCAGTCATCACCGGGCAGTATTAAGAGGGACAAATAGAAGAAACGATGCGACACTAACACAGCATCCGATGCTAGCACCAGCCAACTTTCACCACGCTGACTGGCAATGACTGCTTCAAGGCAGGTATTTTCTAAAACATTTTTATTACCTCAGGAAGTCTTGAAGACAGCATATATCCCTGCTCTGAAAGGCCTCCTTCCACTTCCAAAATGTATAGACAAATGATCTGAATAATCATATCTCAATTCCTACTCTAGAAAGCAGAAGCAAATCAGAATTTGTCTGTACAAGGAGAATTTACAGCAACCTATTATTATTATTATTTTTTTTTAGGCACACTACCTCTCCATGCGGATGGTCTTAATCTGTGCTTAGAGTAAACACCTTTCCAAAGTACCTTGAATAAAGGGAGGCTAAGGCGTATGTAAGTAGCAAATTACCTCATAGCAGGCACGGAGCTAGAACTTAACTTACTTATCTTACTGTTGACTGTGCAAATAGACTCTCAAGCTTCCTCCCTGCTACCCTGAGAGACAGCTATGAAGTTTACACTCTCAAGGCTTGAAGATTCTTGTCTTGTGTTTTCAATTACTTGTGACAACATGGGAAATAGTGTCTCTGAGGAAAGCTGCAGAAAGAGGGATGCAGACCAAAGGATTTAATGCAGCCAATTTGGCTTGTGGCACTCACCAATTTGCTATTTCCACAGCTCAGCCACTTTCAGAAGGTCACAGGACACCTTTTGGCCTGTTTACCTCAGACTCCTTCTGCAGAGCCCTTCCTGAGAGCAGAGAGGAAAACTACAGGCCAAAGCCCCAGGTGCCCACAGAGACATTTTGCTAGCAAAGCCCCACACAGACACGTGTCAGCAATACCAACACAGTCAGTACCAATGCAAGGCTTCCTCCTCTTGCCACACCAGCAACGACAGGCAGCAAAGTGGGACAGAGAGATCAGTACCTCTTGACTCCTCTCCCCCGACATGCAGACCTGAACTGTAATGGGACAGACACCACACACCAGGATGATCCACGTAAAAAGACACAGGCAGCCTGCCCATCTACACACCCACAAATGGGCGAAGCAGCTTAAAGGAGTTTTTCTTCTGCCACCATGGGAGAAGGCAGGGAGAGGAATTCCCCTCACTTTGAATGGCAGAGCCAAGCCTTTTTTGATGCTTTGTCATTCATGTCAGGGCACACTATGCTTTGGAGTAATCTGCCCTACTTCACCTTCATTCCATTTCACAAAAGATACAGGAAATAGCGTTACAATAGGTGAAAGCCTCTGCCATACAACCCCAGAGCCTTTTTGTTCTCTTACAGTACAGGGTAAAGCAAATAAGGAGATGCAACAGCATTTCACTCTCAGATGAAATGTCACATGTCCTCCAAAACATCCAAGCGGTCAGTTTTGCAAATAAAAGGTCACTCCCCTGGGAAGTCCATCTCAGAGTTGACACAGGAGGCTGGAGACACGCGGGTTCCCATGAAGAACCACCTACTTATTTACTCTGCCATAACTTTGGCTTCCTGGGACGTTCCTGTCAAAGCATCTCCCTCTGGAGATGGGCACAAGGTGTGCGTGTTCCCAGACTGCTTGTTCCTCCTGCAGCAGCTGAGCTTATGTTTTGCAGCGCTCTCATCCAAGGGCATCAAGCACAAGGCAAGAACAAACTGCTCCTTTCAGTTCTCTCACACTACAAAGCCAGCACTGCCTTACGGCTCTGAGAAGAGGAACAGAGACTCCACTGAGTTTTGCGTGTGAAGACCACTGTTACTACAGAGGAAAGTAAATGTTCTTTAGACATCTGGTACTACCTGTTGTCACCACAAGGGTGACAAGAAACATGTCCTTTGGATAGTAAGGAAACAGCGAATTTCAGTCAATCAACTAACAGCTGCTATTTAACCAGAGTGGCTGATCTGGCAGCTAAGTCTAGGGCCCAGCAGGTGACACACAGCAGCAATCCTGCCATCCTAAAGCTTTCTGACATGCAAGCAAGCAAAACAATGCCACATGTGCTTGGAGCGAGAGCTAACAGGCAGCCTTGCCCTTCCTTAGCAGAGAGGCAGCCAGCAGGTGACAGGACAGAAATTCACTACGTGCTCAGGGGAGCTTTGCTAAGA